TATGGGAAAGTTTGACCATTCTTCCAGAAGTGCATTGGTGAGATCAGGCATTGATGCCTGGCCTGGCTCGCAGTCTCTGCTCTAATTCATCCCAAAGGTGTTCTATCACATTAAGGTCAGGACTCTGTGCAGGCCAGTCAAGTTCCTCCACCCCAAACTCGCTCATCCATGTCTTTATGGACCTTGCTTTGTGCACTGGTGAGCAGTCATGTTGGAACAGGAAGGGGCCATCCCCACACTGTTCCCATAAAGTTGGGACCATGAAATTGTTGAACATCGCTTGTTATGCCGACACCTTAAGAGTTCCCTTCACTGGAACTAAGGGGCCAAGCCCAACCCCCGAAAAACAATCCCACACCATAATTCCCCCTCCACCAAACTTTACACTTGGCACAATGCAGTCAGACAAGTACCGTTCTCCTGGTAACTGCCAAACCCAGACACATCCATCAGATTTCCAGACAGAAGCATGATTAATTTCTCCAGAGAACACGTCTCCACTGCTCAAGAGCCCAGTGGTGGCGTGCTTTACACCACTGCGTCCGACACTTTGCATTGCACCCGGTGATGTAAGGCTTGGATGCAGCTGCTCAGCCATGGAAACCCATTCCATGAAGCTCGCTACACACGGTTGTTGTGCTAATCTGAAGGCCACCTGAACTTTAGCTATTGACTCTACAGACAGTTGGCGACTTCTGTGCGCTTCAGCATGCGCTGACCCCGCTCTGTCGTTTTATGTGGCCTACTACTTTGTGGCTGAGTTGCTGCTGTTGTTCCTAGTTGCTTCCACTTTGTTATAATACCACTAACAGTTGACTGTAGAATATTTAATAACAAGGAAATTTCACAGATGGACTTATTGCACAGGTGACAACCTATCATGGTACCACGCTTGAATTCACTGAGCTCCTGAGAGCGACCCATTCTTTCACAAATGTTTGTAGAAGCAGTCTGCATGCCTAGGTGCTTGATTTTATACACCTGTGACCATGGAGGTGATTGGAACACCTGAATCACATGATTTGGAGGGACATCCCAATACTTTTGGCAATATAGTGTATCTTGAGTTGTAGATTTAGTAATTTTTAGCAGGGGGTTCCATGAGATTGGAAAGTTACTCCAAGGGTTTCTCTGTGTTGAAAAGGTTGAGAAACGGTAGATGTGGATGGTTTGGCACTCACCCAGTAGACATTAGATGACAGTGGCCAACAGCATGTTTCTTAAAAACAATGTATGTAACTATTATAGAGGAACTTCTCTCACATAGCCATACAGATGGCCATTGAATTTGTCTGAAGCTGGATACACACATACCAAACGTCAGGCGATTCAGTGGGAAATCGCTGACTTTCAGTACGTGTGTGCTGCTGTCTGACAACCAGCTTCTCTCAGTCATGCTGGAAAACCAGCATTCAATTAGCACTTGCAGCTATTGGCTGCAGCACTGATTGTGTGTATTCTGATGGGGGACGTGGGGCTTTGATTTTAGCCTATATTTTAACCTTGTGTATAACACTCCAGAAGATTTACCCCCTTTCATGACCAGGCCCTTTTTTGCAATACAGCACTGCGTTACTTTAACTGACAATTCTGCGGTCATGCAACGCTGTACATAAATGAAATTTGAATTTTTTACCCACAAATAGAGCTTTCTTTTAGTGGTATTTGATCATCTCTGGGGTTTGTTTTTTTTTTTGCACTATATATGAAAAAAACCCCAACATAAAAATTGTTGTGTGTGTGTATATATTTATTGTTTTAGCCCAGCGCATATTGTTTGGTTTGCGCAAAATTTATAGCGTCTACAAATGGCGGTATATACTGCGATTATTTTTTTAATTAATACTAGTAATGGCGGCGATCAGCGACTTATAGCGGGACTGTGATATTGCGGCAGACAGTGTGACACTTTGTATATTTTTAGCACTGATCACTATTAGTGTTACTATTTCCCACAGTCACTGTACTGACAACACTGGCTGGGAAGGGGTTAATCAACTAGGGCAATCAAAGGGTTAATTGTGTGCCTAGCCAGTGTTTTTGTGTTTACTATGTGCTTTTTACTAGGCAATCTGTTATATTTTATTCTCTGAATAAAATCTAGCAGATCGCCATTGACATAACACAGCTCTGCCTTGTTTACATAGGCAGAGTTGTGTGTTAGGTCAGTCTCCTCGGCGATCAACAGGTGCTGGTGCTCATCCATTTGCCAGCACCTGTTGATCAACTTCTGCTGTGTCCAATTACAACAGAAGTGGGACTCTGGTAGCAGACGTGCGCCCCCCAGTGGTGGAAGTGCAAAAATCACATTTATATACACGTGATTTTGCACAGAACCTCCACCCTGTAGCAGTAAAAATGCTATTGGGTGGACAGCAAGTGGTTAATATATCACCTTTTGGGTGTCTTAAAAGTCCACATAGTATATTTTTGGTTTCTTTATTCCTTCCCTTTAAATGGTTAGCTTTGAAGAGTAACTCCACTTTTTTTTTTTTTTTTTTTTTATTAACAAAAGACAAACTCCTCTGGGTGATCTATGTACATCATTGCAGGGATTTTAACAAACTTTGTTGCAGATTTCCACCTTTTGTTATTCTGAAGAAACAGCTGTTTGTCTGTGTCCATTTGCAGAGTGAACCTGTATGGGAGTGATTTTATAATTATCAATCACCTGCAGCTCTCTGAGGAAAACAGCAGGGTCTGCATCCCTTTAGCCATTATTTCCATTTGGGAGTATCTCACTAAAAATTTAATTTTTGTTGCAGGGGATACCCAAAATCTGACTTGTATCTTAGTGTAGACTTCTGAGAAAATCAGTTAGCCAACCACACAAGCAGAAAATGACATTTATGGGTAGTGTTCTGTACACCGTGTACAGAGCGCCTCCAGGTTGCCATATTGCACTGCAGAAAATTACAGAGCTGCAGATTGAAAAGGAAAGGCAATTTTTTATTAACATTCAATTACAATATGACTTGCATAGCAATTTTATACACTATATATTGTGCTATTTGTTTTCCCAAGAAAGTAGAACCACTCTTTAACGTTTCCTAAAGGCAAAAATTGTTTAAAAAGTTTAATCTACAAATATTTTGCCTTTACGGTTATTTATGGTTGTGCAAGGCATGGGCTGGCTTCCTGGGAGGAGTTATGCAAATATTAATATACCTTGATGGGTGGATGGGGGAATGGGCTTTCCTAGACAGGCATTGTTGGCATTCACACTACCTTAGATAATGCCCACACATGATTCTGAGCCTCTGATTCCAGTGAACAAAAATGGGGCACCATGACAGTCAGTTTGGGGAGGAAAAGGCCAAGATAATGCTAGACATCCTCCAGCCAGGAAATGAGGCAGGATCTATCTGAATTTCTGCAGATTCTGAGAACTTCACAGTAAATCAGAAAATAGGAAATCCACATAAGAAGTTTCAGTTCAGGAGAGGTGCCTGTACAACTGTGCAAGCCTAAAAGGAAAGGCTGGAAGTAATCTTCAAGAAATAATGTGCTCTTTTTAGACAAATAGTTATTTTAGGACATAAAAGTAATGACAAGATTCAGACACATTCTTTATGGAAGTTAGTGTTTATTGACGTGGTTTGTTTTCCAATTTGAACATTCCCACACAACACACAAAGGGATCTTGCAGGTTAAACTTGATTCTGTGCATAGTGCAGTAGAAATTATAAAGGACAAAAAAGAAAAAAAAAAACAAAAAAAACAATTTAATGGAAATAATGAACTCAGGAGAACAGAAGAATATAACAGACGCACGACCACAGGTTACCAGAACCTTAAAAATCTGCCGAGAATGAAATTTGAGATGATGGTGCAATTGCAAACATTAATTTTACAAGCAGTAGAGACACGGGGAGTTCACACTCCAAACATCTGCAGCTTCCCCTCCCACCCTGCACGTTACTGAGCGAGATTTTGTGTCTACGCTCGGCTCTGCCACACAGTGTTTAGTTACTTCTGGACCCAAAACCACAAAGTTCAAAGCTGGTCAGCGCCTTCCTGACATGCATCACCCTCCAAAAATCTTGTTCTTGGCACCGATCGCAGATGACGCGGAGCGAACGAGTAAAGTGCAATAATACCTATTTGGCAAGGCAAGCCCGCGCAGAACCCCCTGATGGTTATAGATTGACCCCCTTTAATGAAACAACAGCGCGGGTATCAGTGTCAAGAACAAGAAAAGCGCTACCTATCATATCAAGAGATACTGGCCGAGGAGCTAAAAATAATTAAAAAAAAAAATAAAAACATCAGTAGTACATTTTAGCTTTTCACGAGCGGAATTTAAAATAAGAACTGAAAAGATATCCAGTCTATCGCAGTGAGGAGACATCAGCTGAGTGTGGCAGTGACCCCCCTCCTCCTCGCTACAAACAGGAAGAATCACAAACTTACACACTCTAACAAGTCTTAACGTTTCCGTCTGCAGCGTTGTTGGCTTAATTGCATCCATTTTTTTTTTTATATGATTTTTGTTTTTCTTAAATAATCTGACGGAATAGAAAGAAGCAAAATCCACAAACATTCTACAGATAGAAAGGAACTTTCCCCCTCCCCCCCATTCCATATATATATATATTATTTATATATATTTATACTTTATGTAGGAGACACACACAAGAAATCTGAATGTTGAGCTGTTTTCTGATTAATAAAAAAAACAAAAAAAAAATCTCTACATCTTACAAGATCAGCAATAAAATATTCAGTGAAGATTCAGATATTAACTCTATTCTGTCACCCGTTTAAAAGAATGGAAAAAAAACAAACAAACAAAAAAAAACAATTACATTTTTCAGGAAGTGATCATTAAAGAGTCCGTGAGCGCCCGGGGAGGCAGGCAAGCTCTCTCCTCAACATAATTGGTCTGCAGTGAAACCCAAATCGATGCCCTGCCCCCATCATCTTTGGCCCCAATACCCACTAAGCCCACCCTATGGACCCAACTGCCCCTCCCCAATCATCCCCGGCCAGAGTCGTCCTCAGATCTGCATTTGCTCCAGATATTTGTATGTTGGGTTTTCATAGCCGTGGTTCTGCATCTTGTTCAGGTGGCGTTCTTCTGGGGTCAACATTGGATCCACCTGGAAAACAAAATGGAGGTGGTTTAGGATGACAAAGGAGGAGGAAGAAAACAAGCAGTGTAGGTCTGAAAAATGGAAAAAAAAAAAAAAAACAAAAAAAAAAAAAAAAAAAAACTCTACTCTACACAAGCTAATAGGAGGTTTATGTGCCATGGTGATGCCACAGTGTGTGAGGGACTTGAGACACCTCTACCCCCCACTAGCTGAACTCCAGACAGATATGATCATTTTTGGAAAGGTCATTTTATACCCTTAAGCAATATTTTTTCTATTTTCTGTTCAGTTATCCTCCAAATGATAAATCCCAAGTTAAACCATGATAACGGCTCAATATCCTTTATTTCTGTTTTATACATCCAGTAGTCACCATGCCCACCATCTCTCCAGCCACAGGTTGTATTACCTCATTATTATACAGGATTTATATAGCGCCAACAGTTTGTTCAGCGCTTTACAATATAAAGGGAGACAATACAGCAACAATACAGTTCAATATAAAGAGGGTTAGGAGGGCCCTGCTCCTTGGAGCTTACAATCTAAGAGGGAGGGGCTGGTGGTACAAAAGATAACTGTGGGGACTGGTAGGAGGAATAGAAGTTTCCGTTATTAGCTGAGGGCAGGATAGGCTTCCCTGAAGAGATAGGTTTTCCGAGATCGCCTAAAAGTGGGCAGAGTAGGTGATAGTCTGATAGATTGGGTAGTAGAGAGTTCCAGAGGATGGAGGAGGCTCTGGAGAAGTCCTGGAGACGAGCATAGGGGGAGGAGACAAGGAAGCTAGAGCACAGGAGGTCATTCGAGGAGCAGAGAGGACGGTTTGGGTGATATTTTGAGACAAGATGTAATTTGGGCCAGAGTTAAAATAGCTTTATAAGTTGTTAATGTTTTGAATTTTATCCGTTGGGCAATGGGAAGCCAGTGGAGGGATTGGCAGAGAGGGGGGGCAGATACAGAAGGGTTAGTAAGGTGGATGGGTCTGGCAGCAGCATTCATGATAGACTGAAGAGGGGATAGCCTTCGATGAGGTAGGTCAATGAGGAGGGAGTTACAATAGTCAGGGCGAGAGATAACAAGGGAGTGAATAAGTTGCTTAGTGGTTTCAGAGGTATATTCAGTGAATAGGAATGTAATTATGTCATCACTAACTGTAGTGGGAGGACTCAGGAATATCAGACTCCCAGTCTGACCTGCCCATTAATATACATTTGATTTACAGGCCAGGAGCTTCCTGGTTGAGTCCGCTCACCACAACCTATCACTGAGTGGAAACGATTGGCAGGATATGCAAATGCCACTCCAACTATTGACCACAAATCCAACCATATTCATGCTCAGTGCCAGCTGCTATTCCCAATGTATGATGGGAATTGTCTGTTCCAGCAACCCAGCAACGGTGATAAGGCACATCAGCGATTCAGTAGTTCCTCCTGCCAATGACTGAGCATTGCTTTGGTTTCGGATTCAAAGTAGATTTTAGAAATTAGAATACAGTTTGCAGTTTGGCTTTAAAATGAGAAGTAGGGCCAAAACTCTTTTGTGTCTTTAGTTCTGCACTTGTGTGACCCAGGACGACACAGATTAAAAGGTTCTTAAGGGACACTGGAATTCAGAAACAATCAGGTTATACTGAAACTTTCAGGAGTTTGGGACACTGGCAAAACAAAAATCTGTAAGCCAGCCCATGTATAACTTTTCATTTGTGAAAAAGCAATACACAGGACCAGCAAAAAACACAGATGGGATGGACTAAAGAAAAAAAATTGTATATTCTTTTTCACTGAGGGACATGGGTATTCAGAAAGTCTGAATAAAAGATGGGCAATAGCTACTGACAGATACAGGACAAGTAAACATCCGTATTCAGGACTGCTGTAAGGACCAAACACCAAAATCTGAATCCAAGGATTTAAAATCCCCTGCAAGACATGGGAGGATATTAGTGACCAAGGAAAAGCCACAGAGAACCTGATTTTCAAGAGCAGGAGAAAAAAAATACCAAAAAAAATACAAAAAAAAAAACCAAAACAAAAAACCACACAACAAACATCGCCACCAAGGGGAATGGGAAAAAAAAAAATCACCAAAATCAGGTGGATCATAGCTACCTGCTAAGGAATACATGGGCCAACAATGTGAAGTGGTTTAAAAAAAATAACAGGCACATTTTTCTAGTAGAACAGATCCCCAGTAGGAACTCTGGTTAAAAACAGGCCCATAAAAGCAGACCAGCCAGTCAACAAGCAAAAGACCCAAAGCCTTACACTTCCAATCCTTGAAAATCAGGGAACGAAGCAATGGTTTCTTCTTGCTCAACAGATGAGGTACATCTAGGAGTAAAAACCTCTCCCTTTGGAGTTGAGGAGAGCTAGATGGCAATGCATTGTCCCAAAGGAAGATTGTGCAGTGAGTAGCACTCATCATCCAGCGTAAGGGAAGTCACTCATCTTGTCACTGGGGAAAAGCCCGAACCATCTCAGATGTGAAGGTCTTACAACACTTAAGTGAATTCAACAGAGTCCTGGTCAAGAAACCAACTCAAAGTTGGAACCTTCAAAGAAAATGGGACCAGCTGTTCTGGGGCACTGGACTTAAGCCTCAGGTATGGGAATCACCCCTTGGGTGAGCAGATCACTCCATTCACAGACTAATGGGTTACACCAGGGATATCTTGGTTCACAGAAACTATCTGGATGTCTAGAAACAGGTCCAGGCTTTCAAATACAAAGGGGTAGGCCTAAGAAGAAGTCAATGAGAAAAGCAGAGCCTGTTAGAAGGGTTGTCCCCCAAAGGAATGGGAAATTTGCCAACAATGAGGGGTGCAGACCCCTTTAACAAAGTCTCACTGTACAGCCTTGTGCAGCCTACAGAACAATAGTTACCCAAACAAGACACCTGTGAAGTCCCACCTAGTCAAAGCATGCAGGTATTAGGCCCATCAGAAGAGCTCCAACTGCAAAAGTCCAGAAAGCTGACCCTCTTTATGCAAGGTCCTCAAGCATTCTGCAATGGGGATGTCAGGAGAAGGAACTAGGTTGGACATAAGGTCCAGTGCTATGAGAAATAGCAGATGCCTCTGAAGGACACTGAGGAGTCAGGTATTTGAAAGAGAAGTAGCATGAACTGGTTCTAGCCCACCATGTAAGCCAGGTAGTACATTTGGAGAAGGGGTATGCTGAGGAGTACTAAGTACCATAAGGAAATGTAGGACTGTGCAGGGAATAACTTCTGAAACCAAAGTTCCCACTAACAGGAACAAGGGGTCCCAAGGTACAGGATATCCAAGAAGACCTGGGCAGATGTGCAGTGGCATAAGAACAAGGAAGGGCAGCTGAAGATGTCGAAAACAAGGGGTTAGCCTATGGGCTAAAAGGTGTGTCCTGAGCACCAAATACCATCTAGATGTACAAGCAGCCCCCCATTTGTAAAAGTGAGTAAACAACTTCACTGCTGGCTTCAAGGCCCGCAGAAATGTCTTTTAAACTGCAGTGGTTAGGGTTAATCCTCCAGGTGCAGGGTAAATAGGTACTGCATCAAAAAGGTCTAAAACAACCATTTGTAAATCTTATGCAAAGCCATGAGACTGCGGTGCCCCAAAAACAAATCTATTCAGAGATAGACTGTTTGGACTTTGAATCAAACTGAGACTGGGACCCCTGTTACTATCTCTATTTCAAAGGTTCAAATGGGGTCCTTGCTATGGCAATGGTGGTTGCCCAGCAGCGCAAATAGTGAGGTAGCTCCCAGTGCTTCAGTCTGACCCCATCTTCACATTCAGAGTCGCACCTGGGGCTGTGGACCCAGAAAGCACTCACTTTGCAGCCAACTAGTACAGTAAACAGAGATCTGGAAAGAGCCACAGTACAGAGCATGATATCATATTCCAGCCTAGCCTTGCACATCCAGCCCAGAAGGGTCTTGGTATGGCCTCCAAAGATAATAATTGGGAAACAATGACTTGGATAGTTGCTATACGGAGGCCAGGTCAAAGAGCAGTATAACGAGGAATCTTGATTGAAGGGACCAAGGAAAAAATCCAGAAAGTAAGGAAGACTAGCATAAAATTACACTTTTATTTTAGCAGAACTAAATAAAAAGATACTCAACCTTCTAGAACACTAGCAAAAAACTAAGGCATGCCAGAAGTAAGGGATTATCCAAAGGCTGGTTTACAACACTTCGGTTTAATGTCTCAACCTCCTGTAAGTGACAGTATAACCTAATTGTTTCTGAATTCCTGTGTCCCTCAATGGATGATAAAGAACATCATGGTACATTTTCTTTGAACACAGCGGATACACACTCCAATCAGGTTGTATGTAGCCAGTCAAGACCTATCACATGACTACAAGACCCCATACACTTGAATCACGACAGATCAGACTTTGGTCACATGATCTCACCTCCACAATACCATGGCTGATGGTGCCATACTGTCTCTTCCTCAGCAGGACCAGGCTGATGACGATGATGGTGGCAATTGCCACAGCGATGACCAGGAGTCCAATCAAAGTGCTGCTGCTGAAGCTGAATTCGTTACGCAAACTCTCTGTCTCCTGCGGGGCAGAGATGAGAAATTCGATGAGAACACAGAACATAATCAGCACAGCATGAAAAAAAAAAAAAAAGTGTCAACATGGCATGCTGATTTACACCCCAATGTAGTAACTAACTGCAGGGTATGATTTTAGGTTTGCTTCACATGAGCTGTCCTGCAGAACAAGTTTGTGCATGATGATGCCAGATAGGAAATATCTGAAAGTCCCATCTGCCAAGAATCCTCTCAGCTACATTTGTCCTTTGTAACCAGCATGAGCTGTTCAGTGCAGCTCCACGGTGACCAGAGCATAGTTATTTGATATCCCCTGCAAGACTACATCTGATTTGTGGGTGGATAGCAGCACAAAAAACAGTTCTTAACCTGGCAAAAAAAGATTCCTCCAATCACACAAACAAGGCAGAAGAAGGGAAACCCGCAGCTGTCAGGATACACTGATAAGCAGCAGCTGTAGCCGCTGATCAATAAATATTTTCTAACATGTCCCTTCAACAGGAGTTGATCAAATTATTGATTTCTGTTGATCAACTTCTGATCGAACAATGGTTGGTCCCCGCTGAACCAGACTCATTTCAATACTGTGTGGCCACCTTTAGGTCAATATGTCCAAAACAGGCTCATATTGGATGGTCAGCTATCTGCTAGTACAGGAAAGCATTCTGCTTGCGATTAATTTATAAATTCTGAGTGATTAAATTCCAGAATAAACCCAGTAGAACTGTATGTATAAAACAGTATTGTTGCCAAGGAAGCAATCACCCTAACAGGCTCAACAGAATTATGAAAAATACTAATATTTCAGCACTTTCGCTTAAGTATCCACATCCCAGAGTTTGACATTTCAAAGCGTCATAACCTAATTCTAATATTTACTTTTTGATTTACACAATATAAAAGGCGCCTGACAACTTTCCTTGTGACACAAAAGCATTATTTGTGGCCATTGGCTGTTGGCTGGAAGTCTAGAGGAAGACCGACAGGTGGCTTCATAACAAGTTTGCAGCAAGAAAATTAAAAACATAACTGCAAGCAAGATGGGACAAACGGTATGAAGAGGACAGTGTCCAGAGCACCGCTTTAAATAATTGAGAGTAATTCCAGGACTGCGAATGTCCGTAATCTCTTCAGTGTGCAAAACCCAGTACAGGCTATGGACTTCCATTAATAAATGACACAGCAAAACTCTTCGGATCCTGTGCCTGGAACCATCCAGTGCTTCACCCACCGTGTATGTTACATGTGGGGTGAAGCCAGGCACAGAGAAAAAGAACACACTTGAGACCCCTTCTTTTTAATAAGCGGACCACCACCGATCTACAGAGCTGTTCTCAACATCTAACAGCATTCTGCTATATGTATGCTGCATCCCAGTGACTGAGCATCTGCCTGAATAAAGGAAGAAACCTGACCATTTGTACATACCGGCTCGTCTGCCAACCCGCTGACCCTCTCAGCATTGAAGATCATTTCCTTAACATCCAGGGTCTCATCGATCACCTGTGACAAAACACAGACAAGTAAATAGAAGCTGGGGAAGCACACAGCAGATGGAAAACAGAACAACCTAAATGAGAGTTTCCCCTCATGGAGGGTTGTTGGCGCTATAAAGACAGAATTCGGATTTCCCGCACAGTTAAAATGCATAGTAGGGGGTCATACAATGTGTTCTTTATCAGCCAATTTAGGCTGAAGGAGTCACACCAAAGGCTTCCAATATAAGGGAACAGGAAGTTTAAAAAAAAAACACACCCGTAAATAACACTAATCTCTTTACAATTACCCACAAGTCCTCCCTCCATTATCTTACATGAGAGAACTAGCGAATCATCTATTCACTTTTCCTGCACAAGATTTAAGAGTCCAGAAGGGAGGAAACTCACCACTTTCTTGTCAGCTTTGCTCTTGCTGTTGAGAATTTTCTCTTCGGCTCCGATCAGAGGCTTGTTGTCAGCCATTCCAGATCCTGGGCAGAGAGAATTGCTATCAGAAGTCTGACATATTCAGTAGTTAATGGAAAACATAGATTTTTCCTGGAGGAGCAGCCATGTGCGAGACAAAGCAACTTAGCTGTAATGCAGCAACGTGGCCTCTAATCGCCCAATTCAAATCTATCCTGGTCACCGCTCAATATGCAGACAGAGGCCTGATCCCTTACCATCCACTGTGGTTCCATCTGCCGGTCACTACTTTCCTGTAGTGGAGGGAACTAAAGCCAGCAAAGAGACCAGTCATCTGACACACTTGAAGTGTGTAGGGTGTTAAATTCTGTCATATAGAAGAATGAAAATTCCAAGTATAGCTGGTGGGACAGGCAGTTATAAAATATCTTTTGCAGTTACTTTAAAAAATGGCTGCATCACTGTAGCATGTCACAATACACAAAGTACCCCCTGGCTAGAACATATCTATGACCCCTACAAAGAGGATACCAGACAAGCTCAGCCCACCCATACTAGCTAATCCTCTGAAAACTTTGCAAGTTACACTGGAAGAATCTGTTGATCTGCATTTAGTAATGGGATGACAGCAGCATGAAGTAATACACTGAATACAAAAGCAAAAAATTAAAAAAAAAAAAAAAACTTGCTAAATAAAACCTTCCTTACTAGCAGAACCCAGTGTAGTTTCCTTCTATCTCATCAATCACGATTTCACCTTCTTAGGTACCACCTCTTTCCAGGGATGGACAGCAGACTGGGCTACTGCAGATGTGACCAAACCAAAAAAAATCCCCAGTCTATGAATTCTGTAGTTGGAGATGCTGCCATACTGCTACAGAGTGTGCCCAACCTACTCTATAAACCTGCACCAAGAATTATCTTTTTAGTAGAATAATCCTAATACACGAATTACAATATTAATACACAAAGGGAAGGAGCAGGGAACCCCAACATAATGAGGGCAGGGCTGTCCTAGCAATGGATACCAATGATGTGCATCACAGTGGGCAGATTGGCAAGAAAATGACTACATTACACTGGTGCACTCTACTACTTCACTTTTTCCTTTTGTGTAAGAAGTGTGCTCCTCTTTATGGCTAAGCTGCATGTGCTGCAATCTTACTGGACAAACTACTAACCACAGTCATTTCTATGGGAGAGCAGGAAATTTTGATATTGCAACATCGCAATTGTCTGGAGAGTTCTAGGTTACTCTAGCTACATATTGTTACTATTTATCCTAAGCGCTGTGCGTAGACCAGATCCAGCTGATTTATTTGAAGTTTTTCTGAGTATCATATTATGGCATTTTTTTTTTTCTTTAATATGATGCGCTAGATCCGAACCCTAACTTAACCCTCAAGGATAATGAACAAGAAAAACCTAAGACAGGATGCAGCCAGTATTGCGGGTACACAGGATATTACATGAGATGCTACAAAGGTGCAAACACTGTCTGTGGCCAGGATACTGCATTACGTACGCTTACTTCGTCACATGGTTGCAGCTCATGAAATATTAAAAAACCCCAATCTACCCCACTCCTAAATCATACAAAAATGGTTAGAGATTGGATGATAACCGAGGAAATGGGAGCAGGAATAACGCCCCTTCACCAGGAGGAAGTCAGCAACTCACCGAAGAGAACCAGGAACCAGAATCAAGTGATCACCATGAGCATTGATTAGATTGGAAAAAGGTCATCCTGCGGAGAACGTGATATTTCAGAATTTGGTGGATTCTATGTTCCTGGGTCTGAACATCCTAAATTTCTGCCTGTGTTCCCAGGTCTGATCATCATTTAATATGAGGGTCCCTCTGCCTGCTGGATTTTCCAGTTTACTTCATAACAGAGAAAGCAGCAGCAGCAAGAGGGAAGACACTTAAATTTGAGAATTTTGGCTGGAGTACCCATAAGTCGGTGCCCCAGTCCACCAAGCTTCACCTATATATGAAATATCACTTTCCAGTAGGCTCACCCTTTATTTGTGTAGGAGAATATAGGAATTGCTGTCTTCAGCAGACGGTAAAAGAGTCACTTATGGAAACCAAAGTGAGGTGACAGATGGGATGGGGACAGTGCGAGAGAACAACCAACCTTTTCTGACTGGCAGGTAGGAGTCCCGTGACGCTTCTAGACAGAGGGGGGAGGGGTGAGGAAATGGGGAATAAGGAAAACAAAAGATAGAAAAGCAGAAAAAAGATTAAAAATAACTAAAAGGTTTGTGGAAGCATCAGGATTCACGCGTGAACTCAGCCAAGTCCCCCCGCCCCCTGCGACACGCCGCTGTGCTCAAAGCTTTCCAGTGGCTCTGGCAGGAAGGAGGGTTCATGCAGCACAATGTGCGTGTAAGAGTGGAGGCAGTGACGACGGCAGAACAGCATTGTGGGAGCGAGTCCCTTCCATCATCTACAGAGTACACTGACAGCGATGGAGGGGGAAGGTCACATGAGCTACACAAATCGCAATGTTGTCCAGAGGTTCACACATTTAGCTGTGAATAAAAATGGTAAGGAATACGGAAGTGTACACACAGAATACACACACTTAATAAATGTTCTAGGGCAGGATGTAAGAATGCAAAAATCACTTCTACATTGTACATTTACGATGACATTCCCAAAGAAGCGGCAATGAGAAACTACGACTGTGTTCCCTTTGCATGTTTGACTGCATGGAGTCAAGCACTCCGGGATCTCTAAATATCACATTGTAATATGAATCCACAAACGGGGAAAAACGTGATGCAGTGAAATGTCTTGTGTCACTTTTTTGAACACAAATTCCCTTTAAAGCTAAACTCCAGTATTCAGCCAACATCTACCCTTGAAGTGGGGGCCTCCCTACACTACAAGGGTTAACTGTCTAGTCTAGGGGGTGCACGGATAATTCACATTACTTGATTCCTGTCTCTGGTAAGCTTCCTCAATCCATGTGACCGGTCCATGGCTGCCACATCTCTAAGGCACTCTCAGCCTGGTGTTGCATGCTCACAGCCTTCTCCATATACAAACACAGAATTAATAGCCATGTGCTGCACAGGACGATGCTGAGGCATGGCACGGCTTCGGAGAGAAAAGAACAGTGCAGGAGCCTGCCGGACTGAGGGATAGGGTAACACCCCCTAACCCTGCACCCCAGACTAGAGGAGCAATTGTCCAATTACTAGAGTTTAGCTTTATCAGTGACAAAAAGAAAAGAATATTGTCAACCAAATATTGTTATTACTCAGCAACTCACCTCTTACTACTGACATACTGAAGTTATACAGATCCACTGGCTTTGGGCGGGATTAGTCTGCATTTAAAGGAAACATCCACCTTCAAGTAGTAGTAAGCGTCACTTTTTCTCTTGTACCTACATATAAGTCTATATAATCAGGCTTACCTGTAGGTACAGTAAATATCTCCTAAATGCGCACTGTTTAGGAGATACTTGCATAGCAGCTGGTGACGTCATATCGGCATGCCGTCCATTGAGAGAGCTGTGCCAAAGGAGTCAAATCATTCAAAATGACCATTGAAATGCCGGAGCCCACGAACCAGGAAGAATGACCGGGTGAAGATGGAAGCCCTGTCAGCAGTGACAATGCGCCACTGGAGGGCTTCGTTTTAAGGAAAATTCCTCATAATGTGCTAGTATACGATGCATACTAGTGTATTATGACATTATCTTGCTGGGTCCCATTTTTGTCTGCAATTTACTACCGCTTTGAAGTGCATTATCCAAGCTTCATCCTGCCGTTCTCTACAATAGTTTTGTTCATATAACCTCTGATATTGCCCGACTGACCTGCTGACAGGAGAGTGTTTCAGCCTCTGGTGCTCCCAGCAATGCTCTGGAATCTGGTATGTATGAGGGTAGATGTGACAGAGCAGAACACCATTCTAGGGGGCCTGTACCCAGCTGGAGACTTGGAAGGCCAGATCACATTGTGATTAACACTGCAAGAGTCAGATCAGACTGGCAATGGGGGACCCCAAACCACACAGTGTTTTGCTCAGCAGCATCCAATGTAGTCACATTCAGAAAGTTTAACATTTTCCTCTAAGCCAGACATAGATGGATCGAATTTCAGCCGGTTCAGCAGGGACCGGCCAAGATCAGATCCATCTATGGCCAAGCTGGTTGTAATGAAGTTGATCCATCAATCAACTTCAGTGCAACCAGCCTGATTATTTTTTTTTAATGCGATCACTGCCGGCAGCTATAGTCGCCAGTAGTGATCACGTTGTGTTGGCAGGGAGTCTGTAGACCTGCGGAAGGGATTCCCTGACTTACTTTGCTGATGAGGAAATTGAGATATTTTATTTCTTTCCACCAATGGTAATCTATGGACTGCTTTAGAGTTTTTTTATGCTATTTACATTATACACTGTCCCATTACAGATTTCACTGATTTTAAGTCACCTTTCAGGATTTTAATTCACTACTAATGCATTTATTATCTATAGTATTTTTGAATAATGATTACTTAATCCAGTTTTTCATAAGATGGTTTTTGTCATTATCACTATTAGTTATAATTGAAAATTCTTTTCTGTTTTATTAGAGTTTGACAAAATTCATACCAAAAATGAATAAATTGTATCAGATTTTTTTTCACACACACACAAATGATTGAAACATTATAAGATTTCATATGTTTTTATATCGGTTTGGTTGGACCTAAGAAGGGAGGAAATCTTTGAACCCCCAAAATGTTTAATTTCTGTGAACAAATATCAATATTAAAAGTTTTGTTTGACACTTTCGTGGGACTTTATACTCCTTTAAGAGGAGCCTTATTAAAATCTGACTGATTTATTGATTGTTTTACTCCAGCACCTCACTTATACTTCTCCCACATTCATAAAATTGTAGCGGGGATGGTGCTCTGAATGTAATAGCTGTAATAGCCCCTAAATCTTTAGAATTCTCCCAATTCGAAGTACGCTGCAAACTGTAAAATACCTTCAGATTCAGTGATTGCTGGGAATGTTTTGACCTGGAAAGGGCGGTACGGTTTCCCTTCTCTCACGGGAGTTTCCTCGCTTTCCTCAGAGCTCACCCGCACGTCACCCTGTGACTCGGAGAAAGAGGATGTAAACTGGTCCATGTCTGCCTTCTGCTCTTGCAAGAGTTCATCTGTATGGGAAGAGAATAGAAGGAATGGCATACCTCGTGCCTCAGCCACCAAGAGAGATCACACAACATTGAGCGCAATTACCAATCTCATCCTGGATCTGTTCGGCCACATATGGCACTTTGTAGAGGAGGGACAGACTCTGGTTCATCCGCTCTTCAATTACATGGAGATGGGTCATCACCTACAATGCAGCACACGTAAGTCACCATGTGATGGTTATATCTTAGTCTTTGTAAAATGGAAGTGGCGAGTCATACATATTTGGGTTTGGGGAAAATAATATCTTCACATGAGCACCAGATACCTTCAAAAAATCCTGTTTGTGCACCAACTGATCCCTTCCATGAGCCAACAAGCCACAAAAGCCCTTTGGCGGAGCTTACAAACACATGAAACTTTTGAAGGACAACTTGGTATGGTCAATGTTTAGGGTGTGATGTGTCCTATTGTACAGTTCTGGACAGACTGATTGTAAGCCACCAGCTACTAATTTAACATGAGGCTCCAGTATTTATTTTAAACACAAATTTCCGAGATTTAGTGAAAGCGTTTGAAAGACATTCAAGGGGTTATACCACGGCTCCACTCAGATACGGTTTCACGGGTATGGAAAAGTCACGTGCACAATAACTGCACTTTTCAATTTCATTAGCTCCTCTAATGATTCAGAGGCTAGTCAGGATGCTGAATGACTAAATTGTACAAGGTTGAATTTGTTTTTCACATCTGCCTCTTGTAGAGCCATCATTTGGCCCCAACAAGTCAAAATTGTGAGTTAGAGCTGTAACTACAAAAGATGAGGTCACTGATGTTACCTCGGGAAGATGAAGGAAATCTGCACTGGACCTTCCTGGGTGTGTATAGCAGGACTGCAATCAATAAACGTCATAACGTACATCTTAGCAGCCATTTTATGCTCAAGATGAATTGATCTGAAGTCATGACGAATGCACCACTAGAGGGAGCAAGCAGCGTGCCACACAGGAGCCATGGTACACAAAGCAGAGGGGAAAGACAAATAGAGGTGGAGGACTGACACCTGACATGTTTATAAGAAAATACCTGGAAGACTACACAGCCTTGTAATATGAAGCTTTGACAGGCCGGCAAGACCTTAACAATGGAAGGAGCAGCGGTTCCATTGTTCTAAAGAACCATTAACTGTGACTGCTCATATCTAGGAGGGTTGCCAGGACAATCTATCCCCCCAGCACTGCCATGAACATGAACGCTCTACTTACCCAAGCCTCATAATAGCCTTGTTCAATACTGCACAATACCCGGGGGCCCTGGGACCTCTGCTGCTGTTTACACAGCAGTTATTTATTTACAGCCTCTGAAAAACTGCTAACCTGATACTGACCTGCCAAAATATGTGGCCCCACCAGGAGAATTGCCATAAACACCATTAAACCATCTGCACATACATAGCTTCTGCCAATTTCCTACCTGCGACTTCATTTGTGCCGCCTTCTCTGGATCCACGGTCAGAACATGCTCATAATGGCGGATGGTGTGCAGCCTGTCCTTGTTCTCTGCACGAACATACTTTTTCAAAGCCTGCAGGATACGGTGAGGCTGCAAAAGATCCAGATTGATTAATAACATGTGAACTGGGAAAATAAATTGTAATAATTGTAGGGCAGAGCTGCAGTGCTACATGATAGGTTTATCATTTAAAAAAGACATATCACCACTACTTTAAACTCATTGAATACCCCGGGGGACCAAGAACACATAGCACTTGGTCCTGTTCCGATCGGGTGCTATGGTTGCTGAGCAAATATGAATCACAATGAGCTGCCCCTTCCCCTACTGCTGTTTGACCACACTGCTCAGCAGGAGACACGTGAGGTCTGAGTGTCTGCATGCCCTGGAGATGAGCTAGCATAGCAGGAGGGGTCAGCTCAGATCAGAACACAAATGGCCAACTAGTACATGGTGGAAAGAGGGCAGTGGCTACAGTGCCTTCATTCACCACAGTGGGGGAGGACTCGGCTTGGATCATACACAGGACAAGCTGCCAGCAAGGTAGGGGGTGGCCACAGTGCCTTCATTCACATTAGGGGAAGGGGTAACCTCGGATCACAGAACAAGCAGAGATCCAGTACATGGAGCAGAGGGGAAAGTGGCTACAGTGCTGTGCTTTAGCTCTCCATAGAAAGGCCCATCAATTGGGCTTCATCCTGAGGGGGAACGGACAACCAGCATAACAGACATAAGGATGTGTTTTTATTGCATAATGCAGCCAGTGATCAACATTAAATTTTAATTTGTGATACTCCTTTACACATAATATTTAGGGAAAAAAAAAATATATATATTTATTATTAGGGATGCACTGAAATTTCGGCCACCGAAACATATCGGCCGAAAATAGCTCTATTGGCATTTTGCCGATAGGAAAATGTAGCCGATACAGGGAACTGTGTGGACTGCAGATGTGAATGGGGGGCAAGGGAAGAAAGGCAAGAGGAACAGTGTATACAGTGACTGGCTGTCACTATTTGTCAGTGTCGGTTTTTAAATGCAATTGCTGGGGGATTTTTTTTTTTTTCTTCACTATAGCTCAGAGAATCATCTGTCACTATCCCCAGCTAAAAGAAACAGTTTCTTTTTAATTCCTTTATGGAGCTAAAGGAAACAAAGTTTCATTCATTCTCTGAGCAATGGTGAAGAAAAAAAAAACAAGCCAACAATTCCATTTAAAAACCGGCACTGACATATAGTGACAGCACCTCTTTGTATACACTGTTACCTCACTGTATACACTGCTCCTCTCCTGCCCCCTCCTTGCACACACTGCCCCACCTCCCCCTGCCTCCTACAAAGATGGCCTGTCACTCATATGCTATCACATAGGGGACTATTGATCACCTATGTATGAATGTGACTTAGGGACCTTAGATTGTACGCCCCTTGAGGGTTAGGGACTGATGTGAATGTACAATATATATGTAAAGCACTGCGTAAATTGACGGTGCTATATAAGTACCTGTAACAAATAAAAAAATGTGATAGTAATAAAATCATAAGTTGAAAAAAAAAATAAATACAAATATACATGCAAGTAGAAAAAAAAATTGGAGCCTCCCCACCCCCACATACGCAGATATTTCGGTCACATGCTTTCTGAATTTTTGGTATTGGTTTCGGCAGCAGAATTTTTATTTCGCTGTAAAACACACACACACAGTATATGTATGTCTGTGTGTCTTAAGCTAAATTTTAGCAATGTGTAGAAATACTTCAAATATGTGTCTTTGTAGAATTTGTAATTTTATTAGTCACAAAGAGGCGGCCATGTTGGCTCAGCCACTTGCCTACTGGGGCAATAATTTAATTATTTGCACATGGTAAAATCTGCATTTTTCCTGGAAATTAGTGTAAACCGCACTAATAGTATATATTTTCTAGAAGAGACCCTGGAGATTAAAAATGTTGGTAGTTGCAATTTTTTTAGGTCTAATAATATTTGTGCAGTTATTAATCAATCATATTTTCAGGAAAAAATGCACTAAAATGAATTTAAGTGCAAGCACACAGTGTTATGGCCATTTTTGGAAACCTATGAGATGGTGTTGCATTGAGAATTTAGATACCAAACATGTCAAGACTTAAACCCTCACCTTGTAAAACAGCCCATTCAATTTAATATAGAAAAGAAAGGCAAAACATTTATGTATACAAGTAAAAAACAAACAAAAAAAAAAAAACATTATAAATAACCTTTTCCCTGTTTTAGAAGTTATCACATTCCCACTAAGCTCCTTATATGGCTGAGAACAGAGGTGGGGAAGGGCAAACAGCAGGACACTAAACTTGCCAGTGAATGTGTTTGTGGCTCTCATGACAAGTCTCTTATGTGATAGCATGGGCAGTTGACAGGTACTCTTTATGGAGACACTGGGGGTCTAATGGACCCCCACTGTCTTCCCTGCCCTCCAATTAAGCTATCCAAACACAGACCATGTTCAAATTGCCGCATCTATGGCTACAACAGCAGAAGAATGACAGCTGTGACCCCAGAAGTGACATAAAACACATTGCTTCTGTGGGCATTCATCGCAGGAGGGATAGGGGAACTTGGGGGGCACCCATTTGAGAGCCTTGCAAAAGTGATTAAGTGGCTCTAGAGCTGCTCAATCACTTATCAGAAAGCCCTTTGCCCCTTAAAGCTGGTACCAAGTTTACAGCTGCAACAGCTATGTGCTTGATTTAACTACTCATCTACCATGCCATTTATAAATTAGTACCATGGTAGACAAGTGGTTAATATATATGCATGCTATGCATCCCTGACTAAAAGAGGCAAGGTCACCAAGTCCTGAACGGTAGTCCTGAACATGGTAGTGTCTTCAATAGGCCTCCCCAGTGACTGTATTCTGCTTTTCCCTCTTTTGTGCAAATCTCCTCAGACTTAATTGAATAAAAAAAAAAACAAAAAAAAAACTTTAAATTTAGACAATTTACCCTTAATTATGATGTGTAAAAAAAAAAAAAAAAAAAAAAAAAAAAAAAAAAGTTACTCACACGAGGGGGCTCAGCCTGCAGGGCTGACAGGTAGTTCTCCAGGGCAATGCGGCGTCTATCATTCAGCATGGCCTCCACACGCTCTAAGTGGGTCTCCACAAGCTGCTGCTTCTCATGTGCTGCCTCCTTCTCTAGGGCCTTCACCGTGGCCTGGTAATGCTAGAAAGACAAGTGAATTACCGACAAGGACAATTTATATCTTACTAATGTCACTGATTCAGGACGCCAGAGCCTCCATCCCAGCACAGGGTTAAAATTCCATTAGACGGCTCTCAGGTGAATGTCATTAGCTGCTGCTGCTTTTACTGCCCGACATTCCTCATTATAGCGGATACTCATTAACCGTGACTCCGATAATTACAAAGTCACCCGCAGCAAGTCTTACAATTACACTTCACTGGCTTTAAAGGTGACAGAAGGACGTGATGGAAAGAAAGGATACTAATGAAACTCTCAACACAAAACCAACACTTCAGATTGAGAACCCAGTACAAGTGGATCATGTCTGATCCTAAAGTACAAGCTGCAAAATCAAGAGGAAACTAATACAGAGCTGGAAAAGTGCTGCAGAAAGGCTGCGATATGCAGGAGAAACAAGCTCAGATGGCTTTTTTTCCTCGATGCCAAGAAGATGAACAGACAAGGATGACTTCTAGATCATGCACAAATCTAGACTCTTCAGCCAGTTTCTTGCTTTGCTTGCATCAACCCAAAATGCAAAACATCAATACTATATAAAGCAATGCAGGCAGGATCAATTAAGCATTTGGGTGGGGAAACAGAATCTAGAAGTCTCAAATTTAAAGAAAACAAGAAATGCTGTGTCTGCACTTCACTTGAAGCCGCATCAGAAACCCCTTCAGTTCCTTCTGTTCCCAGGGAGCAAAGTGCATTTACTAGTTTGTTCTCCACTTGGACAGGTATTGCGGATGCTGAGGAGTGTGGTTGACAGTGCTCCCCCATCTGCCCATTACTTGACAGTGCTCCCCCATCTGCCCATTACCTGACAGTGCTCCCCCATCCCCCATTACCTGACAGTGCTCCCCCATTGCCCATTACCTGACAGTGCTCCCCCATCTGCCCATTACCTGACAGTGCTCCCCCATCTGCCCATTACCTGACAGTGCTCCCCCATCTGCCCATTACCTGACAGTGCTCCCCCATCTGCCCATTACCTGACAGTGCTCCCCCATCTGCCCATTACCTGACAGTGCTCCCCCATCTGCCCATTACCTGACAGTGCTCCCCCATCTGCCCATTACCTGACAGTGCTCCCCCATCTGCCCATTACCTGACAGTGCTCCCCCATCTGCCCATTACCTGACAGTGCTCCCCCATCTGCCCATTTACCTGACAGTGCTCCCCCATCTGCCCATTACCTGACAGTGCTCCCCCATCTGCCCATTACCTGACAGTGCTCCCCCATCTGCCCATTACCTGACAGTGCTCCCCCATCTGCCCATTACCTGACAGTGCTCCCCCATCTGCCCATTACCTGACAGTGCTCCCCCATCTGCCCATTACCTGACAGTGCTCCCCCATCTGCCCATTACCTGACAGTGCTCCCCCATCTGCCCATTACCTGACAGTGCTCCCCCATCTGCCCATTACCTGACAGTGCTCCCCCATCTGCCCATTACCTGACAGTGCTCCCCCATCTGCCCATTACCTGACAGTGCTCCCCATCTGCCCATTACCTGACAGTGCTCCCCCATCTGCCCATTACCTGACAGTGCTCCCCCATCTGCCCATTACCTGACAGTGCTCCCCCATCTGCCCATTACCTGACAGTGCTCCCCCATCTGCCCATTACCTGGGTACACAGGGCAGCACAGGATTTCTATAAGGATCGACAAGTAATTTTTGCACCTAAACAGACGCAACACACTTTCAATGGTATATTTAACAAACCAAAATGGGAGCAAATTAGAAAAGTAAATTTTTACAGTTTACATCCACTTTAAGCATGTCTGGATTATGATGCAGTGTCCTGAAATATCCCGGGAAATAGAGATACCGGGTACCTAACCTTTGTTTTTTGGTTAAACTATGTAACCACATGCTGGCTCCTAAACCTGGAATAGAGAGCCACTGACCTGCATCAGGGTTTGTTTTTCAGCTTTTGGCATGTTCTTGGCCTGGCGTTCAGCTTCCTCCCACTCTTTCTTGGCCTGCATGAAGGAGATGGAGAATTAGAACACAGATATCCCAATACAGCAGGACAGCCTTCCCTGCTCACAGGCCCTGGACTTACCCGGTCCATTCTGTTGCGGTGTCGCACCTCAAGTTGCTCTTTGGCTTTCTGGAAGCGAGCGTGCTCATTGTCATCAGCTGGGGTCTCTAGATAGATGTCCACATCATCAGGTGGAGCAGAGGTGGCAGGGACTGGAGAAAAGAAAGACTCATTATTTAGGAGTGTTCTATGCAGCAACAACAAATCCCCGGCCTGGACAGTGGATTAGGACATTAGAGGCAGCAAAGCGGCAGAAGGTAAGAAATAAGCACAACGTTCGTTCATGCACAACAATCACACAGCAAGATCTGAAGTGTGGAGGATGTGCTTTGTTAGTATAACAAGATGGCAACCTGTAGATTCAGGGACCCCATCGCATCCCATCCACAAACAGCAGCTACAAAGCACGCTGGACAACTCCAATGCTGCAGAATGTTTCACCCGGCGCAGGAAGGCCACAATACGTTAAGGCTTTTGCATACAAATGGCCAAGTCAGTTCAAGGTAACTGCCGAAAAATCGCCTCCCCCAGGTGCAATGCACAGCTTCCTAATAATGTCAATGGCTGTATTCTGCTGTACTCGAGTATATGGCGCTATTGCAAACACAAGTACAGCGTACAGGTGTATGAAAAAAATTGAAACCAAACTTAAAAAAAAAAAAAGTAATATGCCCATATACAGGGGAACAGCAGTGCACAGTAAATCATGTCAATCAGAGGTTGTACACACTGTACCTGGGTGGAGGAAATATGCCGACAATTGCGTTGAATAGGGTGTGTCGCCCACACGCAAAAGCCCTTAGATGCATATCTGCATTGTTACATGGCAAGAAAAAAACAACAATTCAACCTTAACCTGCAATTTCAGGTTGTATCTCTGTCCTTAGAGGTCACAAAAAATAAATGTGAAGAATCCCAAAGCTGAGCATAGAAATTACAGATCCAGACTACCATAACCAAACTGATGCCCAACACTGCTCCATCTCAAATAAAGAACAATTAAAACATATCAATTTATTCCAGATTAATGTTTGGTGACAAATTGAACTTTGGTGTGCAGTAATCCCCAGCAGCCAATAAATGAAAAGATATAATCAATTTGGGTTGCAAAGTAATGATAGCAATTATGTGATTGGTTACCTCCTACTCCCCCCTCCCGGTTTTCTCTTCTGTATGGTGAGATTAAGAGAGTGGGAAAAGCATGACAACTGAACTTTGTAGTGTGTGCTGCCTGATACAATGATACGTTCCCAGGGGAGGAGAGCTCGGACATCGTGTCCGATCACATATCATTTCTCCATGGCACACAATGGCTCCCGTGTCTGTCAGGAATATCAGTCGCAGCAATGCCAGGCAGACAGCCAGGTGAGGGGTCACAGCACCAGACACGGGACGAATCGGCTCCCCACCAACTACAATGACACTGTAATCCAGAGAACTGGGAACTTTTGTTTCTTTTCATCAAAAGGTAACTAAGGTTATGAAATGAGCACAAGAGTTACTTATTTTGAAGTATTATTTCCCAGATTTGTAGTCACTCATTGTAGCGACTTTCTGCATGAGCAAGTGCACCAGGCTCCTAACATATACAATGTTTAAGGGTGACCATAAATTGACAGAATTTTGGCCAATTCAGCTGGGACTGGCTGTGATTTGATGTCTTGACTTCAGTACAATTTTTTGAATGCGATTACTAACAGTGGCTACAGCTGCTTGGGGTGATCATTGTTTTCAGCTGGCAAGGAAGGCTCCCCGCCGGCAGAATATAATAGAGCTGCGAGAGAGATTCCCCCATTAACACTGACTGTGCTGATGGGGGAATTGAGTGATGTTATTCTTTCCAACCATGGCAGCAGGAAAGAAAATTGTATCATCTATGGCTTGCTGTACTCCACTGACAACAAACAATCTGATATTTGCTGGCATTGCCACCAATCTGCCAGATCAGATCTACACATCCTGTAGGAATGCAAACCCATTCATACCTTTGGGGATAAGAGAACTGAATATAATTGCTGAATATAATTCCTTCTACCTAGACAACAAAGGTAATGCTCTGAAACCAGCATTACTAACAATGCTCTGCAATCTATTGCTAATGCAAAAAAATATAATACTACATTGTTTGTTTCCTCTTTTCTGCCAGACAGTTCATACCCAGGCATTGGAAGTGCACCACGTTTCCTTGATAGTGGAGTGGGCAGACCCACAGAGCAAAATAACACACGTGGACCGGCTAGTTGTTTATGAGGAATCCCTAGTTTCTCTCACCCATTCCAACACCTGAATCAGGTTTCTTGATTTCTACCAGCTATATAAACTACTTATAATTAGTGGTGCACAGAAACTGAAAATTCAAAATGCACTTGGCCGAAAACCAAAACGTGCAGTTTTTAAAAATGAATATATATTTTTTTGGAAAAAAAATACACTGAAAAAAAAAAAAAAAGGAAAAAAAAAAACCAATATATACCCCAATTTTTTTGTAAAATATGAAAGAATGCTACGGTGAGTAAATAGATACCGAACATGTCACGCTTTAAAATTCGCATGCTCGTGGAATGGCATGAAACTGCGGTACTTAAAAATCTCCATGGGTGATGCTTTAAAAAATTCTACAGGTTAGTTGTGTAAAGTTACAGAGGAGGTTTAGTGCGAGAATTATTGCTCTTGCTCTGACGTTCGTGACGAAACCTCACATGTGTAGTTTGAACACCGTTTAAATATGTGGGCATGGCCTACGTATGCGCTCACCACTATGTGAGAGCACGTGGGGACGGGGGCACTTTAAACTTTATGTATTTATTTATTTGCACTGTCCCTTTAAAAAAAAAAATTTTAAATCACTTTTATTCTTATCACAAGGAATGCATGCATCCCTTGTGATAGAAATAATTAGTGACAGGTCCTCTTTATGGAGAGATATGGGGTCAATAAGAGCCCACATCTCTCTCCTGCAATGTAAAGCATTAGATTAAAAAAAAAAGCATTGATCTAGTGCTTTAAAAAATAAAATACAAAATGGCAGGAGCCAGAAGTGACATCGCTCTGGTCCTCCAAGGCCATAGAGATGAGTGGAGGCCATCTTTTCTTCAATAATCTCTATACCCAGCGCTGGGGTCGTTCGATAGTTTCTCAGGTAAGGCTGAGAATTACAGAGCGGCAGGTGGGCGGCGGCAAGGTGCAGGGTTTTTTTTTTTTTCGGCACCTGTATCGGTGCCTTTTTTCATATTGGCCTACGGCCAAAAGGGGTGTTTTTAGCCGAAATGTGTCGGCCACTGAAATTTCAGTGCATCTCTACTTATAATATACAACTTCAAACCTCCTTAAAGTGGAACTTTAGTCAGAAAATGAAGTCCTGCTAGATCACTTCAGGCTGGCCCCTTTTGCAGGTATAGCCATGTAAAATATTAAAAATAAGTGCCTAAATTGTTTAAAATCCAGTAAGGCACTGTTTTGCCCAGCTCTGCACATGCTCAGTTGCTCTCCATTTTTAGGCGTTTTGTCGAATTTGTAGAGACCGACCTGCTGACAGTCTAAAGATTAAAGCGAACTAAAAACTATCAGTTTAACAGTTTCATGCCCGGCATGCCAGGACTGCTGTCACGCTTGTGTTCTCAACCAAACTGTCAGACCATCAAATGACCGATGTTATTACTGATCATATGTGCTGTATCATGGCATTTGCAGATCTAACAGATGGCAGCTTCCTTGGATGAAAAGGATAGGAGGGTTTAGTTCTGCTTTAACTGCTGCTCAGGTGTCCTGGCTTCAACAGAATGGCAGACTCCAGCAAGAAGAAACAGGAGGAATGCTGGAAGCAATTTACAGCACACACTAATTTTGGTACCATAATTATTAATGTGGAATGTGTGTTCCTTGATAAAGAACACTTTTTTAATCAATTGTTATTAGTAAAGTTCCACTTTAACTTCAAACATTAAAACGGAGAAAAAGTCACAAGGACAGTGCTAGTCCCCTAAACCCCATGCCTTTTTCTCCCCACTCACTATCCACCCTCCACCCATCTTTTTTCCTCCTCCACATCATCCCGCTCTTACTCTTAATGCAGGCGGCCATAGATGGGTCAAAAACCGGTCGTTTAAAAAAAAAAACCGGTCGTTCAATAGGCCGACGTTACCACCAAGAGTGAAAAAAAAAAAAAATTTTCTTCCCGTCTACAGCCGGCATTTGATTACTTCTGTCCCTGCAGAGAGCTCCGCAATTATATTTGATATGAAAAAGTATAGCGGTTGCAACATTGTATCTATTTGTATCCATTTTGGATACAAATGTTTTTACTCGGATACAAATAGATACATTGTTGCAACCGCTATACTTTTTCATGTCAAATATAATAGCGGACTGGAATTCTTCTTTTTCTTGCAGGTCATGGCTCATGCGCAGATTTTTTTATTGGTAAAAAGATCGCCCGATTTGCCCATCATTGCTGCGAAAATCGGCCGATCAGCTGATTTTGTTTTAACTTTACCGATAAAAAAAAAAAAAAAAATGTGCCAAAATCCAGAGAAAAAGGTCGACCAATTAACCCATTAACACAGTGCGAAAATCGGCCGATTTTCAACCCATCTATGGCCTGCATAGGTCTAGGTTCACACCTATGCGTTTTGCAGAAACACACAACAGTTCATTTACCATGATTCTCCACGTTTTCACCCAATGTGTTTTTTGGAAAGGGTCAGGGACTTTTTTTTTTTAAAAACACAAAACATTGCATTTTTGCCTCTATGGAAATGCTGCAGAAAAGCATGTAGTGTGTTTTTGATGCGTTTTCATCTGCCCGGCAACAAGTTGGGGGAAGAAAAAAAAAACAAAAAACCAAAAACACATCAAAAAACCAACGCAAAAAGCACAGCAGAAATGGATCAAACGCAAACTGCATAGGTGTGAATCAAGCTTTCACCTTCAATCCTCACTGCAACACCCACGTGGCTTAAAATACCCTCTCAGCTTACAAAGTGGTCATCTGATCGGTGAACAGAAAAAAGTTTACTTAGCCAGGCTTACCTGAGAGTAAAGTAGCACCCCACTACTGAGCGTTGGTCTCCAGGCTGGTCTGATGTATGATCTCCCACGCTATGAGTGCAATGCCCAGCTTGTTAGCTGAAACCCAATACATGAAGAAACGTTGGACGGCTGCACGCCACAAAAACACCACTTTATTGATATCCATATAAAAGCACATATACAAAGAAGAGCACAGGGGTGCAAAGAAGTGTCATGAAAGAGCGAAACACAACTCTTCTATGCAGCCCCTGTGCTCTCCGTTGCCTGTATACGTGCTTTTAAATGGACATTAAAAGTGGTATTTTTGTGGAGTGTAGCCGTCTAAGTTTTCTGGATGGAGGACAGCGTGAGACCATACATCAGACCAACCGGGAGCAGTGTCTACCTGTCTGTAGCTCCTTTATTGAATATTTTACTCTTCTCCACAGGAGCTACGAGTGTGAAACCATGAGTAGGCAAGTCAATGCCTGCATTTGTGTGTATGCTCATGTATGCTGTGCATTCATGCACCAAGTGGGTACAGCCAAGAACTATTTGAAAGTCAAAATACCAGCTCCTAGCTAGAGAGAACTGTCAGAAGACACTATCCAGCTGCTTCTTATACACATTACCATAAAAATGGTAAAAAAAAACTGGCCGCTGCACTACGTGGTAATTCCACCGTGCACAATGGCACAAGCATACAAGCTATCATCTTGCCTGCAATAAATCAGAAAATAAACCGATCATGTGCTTATATAAAAATCAGACAGACTCGGACCATCCTGGATGCAGATGCGAGGAAAGCAAGGATTCTAGAAAAATTCAGCCACAAACCGATGTCGTAGAAAACAAACAGGTAGGCGAAACAGACGCAATAAGGGGCAGCAACAAGGACATTGCAAACATGTTGGAGTCTTTAACCCTTTCATTCCATGTACAAGGAGCACCAGCAACTGTGTTAAGGGCTGCACCAGCAACTGTGTTAAGAGCTGCACTAGCCAAAAAGCATGTTAAGGACACCTGGAAAGTAAAAGCAGCAGCTGCTCCTGAGAACAAACCAACATTCAGGTTAGACACCAACAGGACACAGGAGGACCTAGTCTGAATATTGCTCTGTCCTCAGGACAGCTCATTCCCTGCGCACAGAGCACATTGTCCTCTTTAATGGAGCAATAAGATGGATGTTAAGATGGATGACTTTGGGGAAAAGGTTAAAAAGACAGGCTGGTGTCACCATAATCAACCTGGTGAACCAGCTTCCTGAGATAGGAGGCCAGGGGCCCCCATAACTTACTCATGACTCTGCAAACTGCCATGCAATATTCCTCCGTCTCAAAATTGTTCCTGTTGCCACCGCAGCCGCCATATATAAACTTGACACACCTTTTCTGTTCAGGGTTGAAGTACCAGCGTGGAAACATGGCGCGGCAGGGCCCAGTTGCGGCTTCTTGAGAGCAGACAGCTGTGAGGAGACGGGTCACAAACAGTGCGAGGTGAGCATCCAGAGGTCAGGAGTTCCATCAAACCTCCCAATTAATAATCAGACAGAACTGCATTTACCAAGACTGAGGGGGGGCAGCCCTCAAAAGGTTGCTCTGGAACCCTGGTCCAATCAGGTTCCAGCTTTCTTTACACCAGTCTTTTAATCATCACCTACCATGGGGAATGTTCATGGACAATGGTGGGACTTGAGCACATTTCCTTCACCTTGTTATAACAAATCAGCACACAGTTACGTTATAAAAAACAACAGATCTGTTCTGATCCATTCTTTCACGCCATAAACTAGCAAACCTCTAGCCAATCTTTAAGGAAGATGAAAAATCTTATATACTTTTCACCAGTATGTTCAGCCATTAAGATGGCGCATCCCTTTAAAGTGGACATGAACTTACACTGATGTTTTGCTGTCTCATAGGAAGCACCCAGAAATGTTAATTGTACCAAAACACTATCCTGAAAGAGTACCTTGTGTCTGGAATGTCTCCTAAAAAAGAAGCACACTTCCTGTGCCTAGGCACTGCTGCCCTGCAGCCTCTTAGCTGTATATCTGTAGTGTGAGATCATCTGAGGTACTGCTGTCTGACTGATGATCTCACTAGATTTGAGGTAAGATTTGGTGAAGTCTCTACAGTTCTGCTCACAGAGGAATCTGTACCCGAGGACCTGCACCTCTATCATTACCCCATCACCAGGTCACAAGCCATAATGGGAGGGGCAGCTCTGTTATGAAGCAGAAAAACCTTGTTTCTGCCAAGATAGCCATCTCTTCACAAGGCATGGTAGGTCAGTAACCACAAAAGATCAGCTGCAGGTAGACCACAAGCAACAATGGTGACTGGTCCTTTGTCCTCTGCCTGCCCTTTTTAAAGCCTTTCCTGTTCAAAGCTTTTCATAAAGTACCAAAATGCTGGAAATAAAACAAAAAATATCAACCACCTTTTCCTGGGCAATAATAGGAGCTAGCTTAGTCAGGCATCAGTCACCATCTCACCTTTCACATCTGTAATGATCTCTTTATCAGACAATGTCCGGCCATTGGTGACCTCTGTGGGTGTCTCATCGTTATATTCGTCCTCATCCTTGTAATTGTCATAATAATAATCACGATCTGTTACAGCATCATCTTCATTCTCTACCTCTTCTTCCTCATCCTCCACTGCGACTGTAAAGTCTTCCACGTCAGCTTCGGTTGGGAATTCACTGAGAAGAAGGGAACAAAATGTAAAATAGGAGAATTCAAAACCAGATTGCTGAAGACTATGAAAAAGTCATAATACCATCCATGACTCTAGAAAACAGCACAGCACGCTGAAATTTTATTTATAAAAGGAAGCTGGATTACAAGATGCTCCTGTGAAATTAAACTCCAACCTCTTGTAAGCGTCATAATCATCCTCGTCTTCCTCTTCCTCCTCCTCATCCTCCTCTTCTTTAGACAAAGGCTCTGCTAGTTTCTTGACATGGGGACAGCAGACATACTCTGTGCCACGGAACTGGCCAGCACCACATGGAAGCAGCATCCCATAACTATGGAGGAGCATGACCTCAGTCACACAGGCCTGGGGGGTGCAGGAACCAAGGTTAGAGTGTCAAACCATTATGTAACCGCTCTCTAGTTTAAATTATGTAATCACTGGATTTGCTATGTATTAAAACAAAAGTCTCTGAATATATTTCTTAACACTGGCATGACTTCCTAAATCACCCTAGGCATCAAAGTCCCAAATACCAGCATTGTGTGTGCATGCTTGGAATACCCCCCGCATGTGTGCAGATGTGCTGCAGGTCTCTGCCGGATGCCAAAGACATGGCAGAGACCTTTAGCATATCTGGGCACATGTGAGACATTCAAAAATGGCAAGGCGTAAATAATGGAGACGGATATCCACTTTAATTATAAAGCCAATAATGTTATATAAAACTGTACTTAATAAATTCTACTTTACACCTACAACACTTCTGAATTGTAATTTAGTTTCCTCTGCAAATCCACACAGTCCAGAACACCTCTACCATCTACTACTCTATATTTTGGGTTTGTGAGACACCAGATTTGTTTTTGTAAGGATCCTCCTTACCCCTTAACACTCTTGTACTTTGCTGACAACAGGAAGATCGGTATTCTACTGCATTACCTTTCGAGCCACGTTCTGCCAGTATTGTTCCTTCTCACACAGGTCCATCTGCTCCTTGTGGAAGAACTTGCACTTCTCAGGAACCAGAAGTACATCGCTTACAAAGTCACCCACTGCAAAGCCAAAAACACGGGATGTCATTTAGATCACACTAAAAAAGTCCAAAGAGAAGCTTGACCTTTAAATAATTAGTGAGTGCTCAAAGTGACTGCTAAGGGGGGTGCTAACCAGACAAGAAAATACAAAGTCACACACAAACTCCCCCAAAAAAACATATTTCACATTTATTGGGAAGACAGCATCACAAAGCCATAGGAAACTGACATTTTGGGGGCCTTGCAGGGTCCCCTCCTTAAGGCAATAAGTCACTGTCAAGGAAAGGCCCTGAGTGTTGCATGTTTATGACTCTGGGATGCAGTCTTCGCAATAAATATGCGAAATATAAAAAAAGTGTGCGTGTGTATATATACATACATACATACATATATACATACATACACACACATATATTTATTTATATACACACACACACACACACATACTTTCTATCCAGTAGGATCTTACTGGAAGACACCAATTGATTGTTCTGTTATAGTTTCAGAAATTCTCAGATATCTGATTGAATAAAAAATTGGTCCATCCAATAAGAACAGCAGGGGGTAAGCAGGGTGACACATCATTTCAGTAAAGATGCAGCTTTCTTGAAGAGAGTGTATAAATTTTTTCTCAATACAGTGAAGATAGTCACATGCATAGAAATTAATTCAAAATTAATGGCTCCCTCTGTTTGCCATGATAGTCAGAAAACCGTGACTGTTCGCACTCAATAAATCATTAATGGACATGACTCCTGCTAACCAACAGCTCTGACCTTGGTGCACCGATCAGTCGTGCGTACAAACCAACTGCATAAATTCTGAAGAGACTGCCATACCACCATGTGATTTATGTAACAAGGTCTTGGAATTTCATGAGGCCGTGGAGCCGGCCCATCACAAGGCTCTGTGAGTAGAGGCTCAGCACAAAGGACTGCAATTCATGGGACCAGAGGGATGGTGCCAACAGAAACCTGTCATCCCATTTCTGGGTTTACTTTTTCATTATAGGATGGGGAGATTCGACTCCACTAAATGCACTCCCAATTAAGGACTCATTCACACCAGGAGCACCTTTCCCAGCGCAGTCCCAATGCAAAGACAAGGCAGTCTGCCTTGTTTACAATTAGGACAGTTCCCACCAAAATGATGTAGTGGTGTAAAGAAAAAAAAAAATAATACGACACGCAGTCCTTTTGCAGTACACCACATGACAATGCTGCTGCGGTGATAAGAACAGAATTAGTTCTTTTCAATAAAGTTAAAGAAAAAAAATAAACACAAATATAAATTTGGTGTTACAGTGCGATGTGCTTTTTCAGCCCATCAGCACAACTCCAACACAGCAGACCCCAGCGGCTGCTTTCTAATCAATTTCCAAGGTTGAAAATAGGCAGTGCCTCAGAGGTAGTGCCGAGTGAATGCACAGGCCACGTAGGCATGCCAAGACTGTGTTTTGGAGTTGTAGTGGAGAACTGAGTTTGTGTGTATGTGCAAAATTTGTAGGGACGTTGGGGGAGCAGATACGCACCTAGACACTTGTAGGGCACTACAATATGGCTGTGGCCTTTGCAATTCTTCTTCCCCTTCTTGCACCAGTTATCAATGCTGACTGGCTCATTGGCTTCCACCACATTGGTGATCTTAAAGTCCGGGTACACCTGTGTATTGAAGGGAAAGGAAAGTAGGCAATAAATCACTATGGCTAGAAAACACAAAAGCCTGCTAGCCTAATAAATATCTAAACAATCCCTACTACCGACATTCCTTAGACCCATGGACACAGAACCCAGAAGAGATAATGAGAGCCAAGAATCACAATACATAGATTATTTCATTCATTTCTTGCTTAGAGGCAGTAGGAAGTGTTGTAGAGAAGATTGAAAGCAAATCATCTGTTTGCTTCTTGTAAAAAGTTCCTCACCTGGAGATCCTGCCAATAACAGCAATTCTCGTCGCAGGCTGACAACACTAAGCCACTGCCTTGCAATTAGCAGTGGCGTTGATAGCCTGCTGTGTGTGCTCCTGCATGTAACTATTGGCCTGCTTATCAGGCCTGTGCATACCTAATGCAAACCTGATAGACAACCTAATGGCCAACTGAAGGTTCATGCCGGGAAGGCTGACAAGGTCGCTGCCATTTGTGAGGCAATTGGGCCGCGCCCCCCCCCCCAAAAAAAAACAAAAAAATCACAATAGCTGTAGAGGTTAATGCAAACTGAGGGACCTGGAGCCCTACCTGTTGACCATGCCTGCGCTTTCCACCCACCACCTCCATTCATGGAAGCTGTACTATAAATTCCATTAGCAAAAAGAACTCTATGAATGGTGGGAGTGCAGATGAATGAAAGGTCCACCTCCTCCATTCATTGATTGTTTTTCATTCATGGAATACATTAGTACAGCTTCTGTGAATGGAAGAGGTCCGCATAGTCTGCATTCAGTCCTTTGGCTCGTATTAACCCCTGTAGCACTGGAAGACTATGGACAGGGCTGGAGGTCAGAACACTGTATTTCAACTAAAACCCTAGCTAGTAGCACAAGGGACACTTCTAAGGAGCTAGTAGCACAAGGGACACTTCTAAGGAGCTAGTAGCACAAGGGACACTTCTAAGGAGCTAGTAGCACAAGGGACACTTCTAAGGAGCTAGTAGCACAAGGGACACTTCTAAGGAGCTAGTAGCACAAGGGACACTTCTAAGGAGCTAGTAGCACAAGGGACACTTCTCAGTACCTAGTAGCACAAGGGACACTTCTCAGTACCTAGTAGCACAAGGGACACTTCTCAGTACCTAGTAGCACAAGGGATACTTCTCAGTACCTAGTAGCACAAGGGATACTTCTCAGTACCTAGTAGCACAAGGGATACTTCTCAGTACCTAGTAGCACAAGGGATACTTCTCAGTACCTAGTAGCACAAGGGATACTTCTCAGTACCTAGTAGCACAAGGGATACTTCTCAGTACCTAGTAGCACAAGGGATACTTCTCAGTACCTAGTAGCACAAGGGATACTTCTCAGTACCTAGTAGCACAAGGGATACTTCTCAGTACCTAGTAGCACAAGGGATACTTCTCAGTACCTAGTAGCACAAGGGATACTTCTCAGTACCTAGTAGCACAAGGGATACTTCTCAGTACCTAGGAGCTAGTAGCACAAGGGATACTTCTCAGTACCTAGGAGCTAGTAGCACAAGGGATACTTCTCAGTACCTAGGAGCTAGTAGCACAAGGGATACTTCTCAGTACCTAGGAGCTAGTAGCACAAGGGATACTTCTCAGTACCTAGGAGCTAGTAGCACAAGGGATACTTCTAAGTACTGTCCCTTGTGCGGATTACAAAAAAAAAAAAAAAAAAAAAACTTTGGCTTTAAAAGGCAAGAGTAGGACAGACAGGTGTAAGTAGCTGAGTTTGGCCTGGTATCAGCCTATTGACATCCCTTGTACAACAGCACACAGACTGAAAGAGGGAAGGAGAGGACTTGGAGCCAATCAGGTGTGCTACATGCATATACGATTACAAGGGGTGACCTCATCAGTCTGTTGCTGCTCTCTGTCCAAGCTTCAGGCTGGGAGTAAAGAGGGGACACCAATGTATTCCTTCAGTAGGCTATATTTCAAAGTGGTCTCACACCCCACCCCCCCCCAGCTGTGTGATGGAGACGAGCAAATCTCAGGACTAGATGGAAAGAAAAACACTTTGGCAGGTAAAGTAGACCCATATATGTATTTGTTTGCCTGGAGTTCAGCTTTAAAACAATATAACCAAAAAAATAATTTGAATTTTTCCTCATGTGGGGTGGTCATCAAGGGCTCTGCCAGTTAAACCTACTAATGTGATTTCAGGTGTCCTGGTGCCTACACATGCTTGTACACTTAGCCCTGTCAGGAATCCCATGGATACAATTACACAGCTCACATGATGCCAGGGATGCCTTCTTCTACAGAACTATATTGTGTACATTATTTATGATATGTAAATGCTTATGTATCTGATGCAAAGGATGGATATAGGGGCTCTCATCTATCAAGGCACTCACCTCTTGGCAGTATTCCAGAATCTCTTCCTCCTTTTGGAAGCAGCTTTTGCTCCCAGAGGGATCTGGTTCCCATTTGCTGATTTGAACGTTGAAGTGCATGTTTAATTTCCCGCAGAACATGGCCACCTGAGGCTCAGACACAGCGAACCCTGCTGCGGCATTGGCGGCGAGGGCCTGGTAAGAGAAAAAAACAGGCAATGTTAGTAAGGAGGTCTAAAACATCACTTTACCTGCACAGAAAATTGCTGCCCGCAAATTAGTACACAGGCCATAAACCCCAAGCACAAAAAAAGGACAACATACTGGCTTATGCAAAAAGTTGCAAAGGAGGACACATACAAGTACCGCCCTTTAGGGCCAGTTCATACTAAAAAAAACGCACTCCAGATACGTTTTTGCTTACGGTTCACACCACACGCAGTTCCGGTGCAGTTTGCCATGTTCCAGTGTGGTTCTGTGTAGAAAAAAAATGCAGCATGTTCTACTTTTTTTTTCTGCACCAGAAACTGACTGGGACTGATTGCACTGGTGTGAACTAGGGCCATTGGAATACATGGAAAACACTGTGCATGCATTTTTGACACAGAAAAAAAGTGCACTGAACTGCATCTAGTGTGAACTAGCCCTTAGATGTGCCAGAAAATATGCTTCAAGTTGAACCCCAGCATAAGCCATACAGCTTAAATATGAGGGATGAGTATTCTTCCTTGAATCTTGATGTGCTTTGTGTGTTTCTTCAAGTTCTGTGCAGTAATCCTGAATTATAGACCAATCACGGCTGTTCTCCTTGTGCAGCGTAACTGGTCTTGTATCCACTCCCTCCTGTAGTTCCTGCTGGCAACCTATAGTGGGTGGAGCTTGATGAGTCCCTCCCACAGCTGAGATCTCTGGACAAGCAACGCAGTGATGATGTCACAGCTACTTTAAGAAGATAATATCTGGGTATGCAAAGGTATTTGAGGCACACACTGGATTCATATCCTTTGTGGCGATTGAGGAAATGTATATACTTAAATGAAAGTTTTTGTTCCCAGAGTTCAGCTTTAAACTCAAATGACAGATTCCTTGCTGCAAGGCATCATTGACTTGATCTACAAGGTCCAAACAGCAGATTGCTACAGCTGGAATCACAGGTGGTTGTGGACAGTGCAGTCAGGAAGCCTATACAAAGCACCGCAGCTATCCGCATGTATCCACAAATCCTGCATTCACCCCCAGGGACAGAAGAGCGGTACGTGTCGTAGATTATGTCCAAGGTGGGTCCATTTGCTGTACGGAACGTATAATACATGTGAATGAGGCCTTGTACGACACGTGTCAGGGTTTATTTATAAAAGACTTTTACCTCCGCGTCAAACACTCACATAGGATTCACACAGTTCTTTTTCCAACGGAATCAACTTAGAAAAAGGGGAGTATCTTGAGTGGATGTCGTCTGAATCATGCGTGAAAACATTTTCAAATAGATCCATTACAGTAGACGTAATCCAGATTGATAATCTCAAAGGTAACATTTCAAAAGTAATGTTCAATCTCTACATCTGCAACTTGTATTAAAAATAATCCCTGGTGATCCTTCTATTACAGTTCTTGTTCAGGAAATACCTGTTAGAGGGTGACAACTCTCTCCCAATTGTGCTCCTGCATTGACACCCTGCCGCATGGGCTTCACATGGAGACTACAATTGGCCATAAAAAAAACAAAACAAAACATTATGCAGGCGTGATCCACTTACCATCCTCACCCTGAGAAATGTCACAAAGCACTTTTTCAAACTCTTGAAACTTTGAAAATAAAACAATTTTCAAAAGCCTTACTAACTACTCCGTATCCACCACCCCTCTCTGCCAATCCCTCCACTGGCTTCCGATTGCCCAACGGAAAAAATTCAAAATACTAACATTGACGTATAAAGCTGATCATAATACTGCCCCAAACTACATCACCGATCTGGTATCCAAATACCACCCAAACTGTACTCTCCGCTCCTCACAAGACCTCCTACTCTCTAGTTCCCTGTTCTCCTCCTCCCATGCTCGCCTCCAGGACTTCTCCAGGGCTTCCCCCATCCTCTGGAACTCCCTACCCCAATCCAGACTATCACCTACTCTCCTCACCTTTAGGCGCACTCTGAAAACCTCTCTCTTCAGGGAAGCCTACCCCACCCTCAGCTAATTACTGAACTCCTCCACTCTTCCTACCACTCCATCCCCCACAGCTATTTTCCTCCTGTACCACTATCCCCTGCCTCCTAGATTGTAAGCTCCAAGGAGCAGGGCCCTCGAACCCCTCATGTATTGATTCATATTGTTACTGTATGGTCTCCCATTATGTTATAATGTACAGCGCTGAGCAAACTGTTGGCGCTATATAAATCCTGTATAATAATAAAAAGCAAGACCTAACAGGACACCACTGCTGTCCAAACATCACGAACGCCCATCAATACGCCAAACGCCCATCATTTCCTGTCATGGGGGCTACTATGTCAAGTACACAAAAGGTATGCAAATCTCACCAAAGGGGCAACGGCAATAAAAGCTGAAAGAAGTCCATCCAAATAGGCTTACAAGGTACAGAAAGCAGGCAGTTATTAACATTCATCAGGTTTTTAATTTTTACTTTACAATCAGGAGTTATGTCCAACAATCACGTATTTCAATTGTGGCTTTTAAGCTGAAAAATGAGGGGCAAGATTGGGATTTGCAGTTTTAATTCACTCTGAGTAGAAATCTTTCCCTCATGACCTACATAGCGGTGGTGCCAGTGTATGTTGGCATTCAGAGCACATGCTTTGTAAGCCGGGTCACATGTGAAGTTCAACGCCATCCACATCGTAACATACTTAATCCCTGGCTCACACGGCCGGAGCGTTCTCCGCTGAGCCCGGGAAGAATTCTCATTGAAATATCCCAAAACACAGGTCTCTGCACATTCTGCCTCCTTCATAACATTTGTCACATGCCCCCAGTTCTTCTAACATTCCTCAACAGGCTACACACTGTACAATTCCTGCTATTCGAATTGCATTGGAGGAAAGGTGTCATGCTCCATTCTGAATGAGAGGTGATCATAAAACAACTGTGAATCACAAGGATGGAATCCTTCTACAGCATATCCCATTCTATAACACAGGTGAACGCCGCAATTGTACAGCCTGTTCACATGCCTGGTAGTAGTGTGCTGGTATGGCTGTGCATCACATTGTCATGTATTGAAACTTATCAGTGTGCTTTTATTTATTGTTAAACATTTAAAAAGGATAAGTTTACATTTTTTAAATTAAAAAAAAAAAAAAAAAAAAAATGCAGATCTTTTGCAGGTAAAAAAAAGTGCATTGATTCTTTTTTTTTTTTTTACTACTAGGAGCCTGTAAAGCATTCTCAGGCTCCTGCGGACTGTCAGCCGTGGTTCACATCTGTGCGGGTGGTGCCGCTGTGGATCCTCACGAAAATCCGTGCAGCCGCACCACCCGCACAGAGGAATGCCAACCTGCAGGCGGGTGCCATTAATTCTAATGGCATGCCGCCCGCACTGGAAAAATGCAACCGTACTGGAAACCAAGGGTCTCGTGCAGGCTGCGTTTTCAGAAGTGCAGGGACTTCTTCCCTGCGTGTCATAGGAATTCATTCAACTGAATGGGCTCTCGTGCCCACGCAAAACGTGACCCGCACAGCCGCATATATGTGAACCAGGGCTCAGTGTATCTGTCTGTTTGTACCTCGTATGGGCAGGCTTTTACACGACAGGAAGCATCCATGAGCTACCTAGAGCACTCAGCAGCGCGCCCTGGTAGTTCAATGAGAAATACAAGCTATCAGCAGTACTTGTAGTTGATTCATTCACAGAACTCTGAATGAATTACATGGATGGGAGGGCGGGACAACTTTTTTTTTTAAAATTGTAACAGACTGTGTTGGGAGAGGATCCCCACCCCACTGTCACAATGGGGGATTGCGTGAGAGCGGGGGCTGCTGCAACAGTAACATGTTACACTCGGAATACGGGTGTAAGATGTTACAAAAGGTGAACTTATCCTTTAAGCATGATACAGACGTCTATGGGGCTGTGATTCTCAGGCACAGCCCAGAGAGGCAACTGAAACAGAGTTGTTGGATCCAGCAAAGTATGAATCTGTGGAGAGGAGGGCTGGGTTAGGACAGGTCATGGGGAAAGGGGCAAACAGAATATGTTCACTGTTAAAATGAAGTGTTAAGCAGGCCATACATGGGTTGAATTCCAAACAAAAATTGAAAACATCGTTCATTCTGTAATCCGATGGTGCCACCAATGATGGTGCCACCAATCGGTAGTTTTTCACCAATTTTCCAGCATGTTCGATAAACAAAATGGGGAGGAACCACAAAAATCGTCCGGTGCCATTGACCCACTAACAGAGCGAAAATCGGCCGATCCTTCTTAAAAATCGTTCCGAAAAATCGTTTGGAAATCGACCCACGTATGGCTGGCCTTCGTTCACCTTTACCAGAAACCTGCCTATGCAGGTAAGGGGTGTCTGTGGATAATAAACTGTGTGCCTGACTCAAGTTGAAGAATACCTTTGCTCTAGGTGCAGGCCATTTATGTACCTCATGAAGTCTGGCTGGAATACTCCCAGGATGTTGCTAAGTGAGGCCTAGTCATTACCGCTCACCTCCACCATCACAGGAGCGAGATTTTCTCTAAATCAAAGCCCCTCATGTTCTCTCTCCCCTGATGCAGTAGCTCCGAGCTCTGCATCTGAGAGATCACTCCCTTGATGGTAGAGGTGAGCAGTAATGACTAGGCCTCACCTAGCAACACCCTGGGAGTATTCCAGTCAGATTTCAGGAGGTATATAAATGGCCTACACCTATAGCAAGGGCATTATACAACTTTAGTCAGAGCTGCACAGTTTTTTTCTACAGACACCCCTTGTGTGCACAGGAATATTTTCAGTAAAGGTGAAGCATCCCTTTCATGTAGATCATCACAATGCAATGTGCCATTGTAACACACTGTACGCTGCATTATGCTGCAACCCTGTGCTGATCAATGCTAATGAGTGCACCTCAATGTACCGGGTGTGAACCACCGCTACAATATGGTACAATCAAATGACCTTCTCATACAACCTGTAGTAAATTCTGATCAAAAAATGAAACTGTGCATTAAAACCATACAACCCCACTGCTCAT